GACCGTTTTGACAGCTCTAAGGCTACAAGAAGCCCATCGTGGACCAAAGACACAGCCTATTTTGATGATTTCAATATATAGTTCTTCAGAAACTTGTTTAAGTTAAAACTGACTTTTATTTGACTGATGAAAAATTGCATAAATCTTGTCCAAAAAAATCTTGAAATGGCTTATTTCATTGATATCATTTATAGCATCATCTAAAGCCAGTTGTAGCTGATGATTCAAACAATGCCAAATTATAATGTTTGGAAAACCTTGAATGAGTCTTGTAGCAACTCCAGATTTATGTCCAAGCATGGTGCTCGAGCCATCAGAACAAAATCCGATTAAATTTTTCTTTAAATATTCTGTGTCAAATCCTGTATCGGTTAATGTATTTCTCAAAGCATTATAAATATTTTCTGCTTTTGTTGATTCTAATTCCACTAAATAGAGAAAAATTGTTGGTGAAGAATCTTGTAATTCACATTTTATGAGAATTACAAGCACAGCTTTACTTGAAATTGTAGAAGCTTTATCAATAATAATACAAATCTTTGAATTGTTTTAAATGATTTTGCTAAAAATTTGTTTTCTTATTGATTCAGCAATATGCTCTATGATTCTGATGGCCGAAAATCGAGAATGTAGGCAGTTCCCTAAATCGGTTTCATTCTTAATTTGTAGCTCTACTTCATCCTCCATATCTGCCATTGGTTGGTTTCTTTTTACTAAGTTGTAAACTATGTTGAAAATTTTGCTGGTTATTGCTATTTTTTTCAGTAACTTTATCAATCACTGTAGTGAATCTTTAGATTCATTTAAAATATTTATAACTCTCAAATGAAAGCTTGATTCGAAATGTTCCTTCATTTTTTTTCTTCATGAAGCTTGCTGAACTTTTTTATCAGTTCCAGAGGCTTTAATAGTACACTTTTGCCATTCCGAAGAAATGTGTCAAGATTTTCCTCCAAGGACCCCCAAACATGATATATTTGCACAGTGGAAACAGCCAAGGTTTTTGCCTTCAATGATCAAGCCATTATATTTCTTTAAAAAATATTGTGCCTGCTCGGAAGTCCAACAATCGGGTACTACATTTGCACAGTCATGTAAATCCTCTTCCATTGCGGACACATTTTCAGATGATTCAACATTTAAAATATTTTCATCACCAAAATTATTGTCATTGGCGTTTTCAGTATTTAAATTATTATTTCCACTACTAGAACTACTGACCGATGATTCTGTCATTTTAGAGGAAAACCAGTCACTAATGCTTTTCTGGTGTTTTATTATGAAGGGTAAATAATATTGAATAGAAAACTTTAGTCTTCGAATAACAGTCCAGTTAGTATTACACACTGAAATATCACACGCAATTTACTAGAAACAAACTAGGAGGGTAGTGAAACACTGGAATGCGTTGCCTAGGGAGGTGGTGGAATCTCCTTCCTTAGAAGTTTTTAAGGTCACGCTTGACAAAGCCCTGGCTGGGATGATTTAATTGGGGATGGGTCCTGCTTTTGAGCAGGGGGTTGGACTAGATGACCTACTGAGGTCCCTTCCAACCCTGATATTCTATGATTCTATGAAACAGACCGACTATGACTCACTGGTCGTGTTGAATTGTATAGAAAACAGTCGAGCAAGTGCACGAACGAGGCAAGTGCAACCCCTGTTAATAACATAATAAACGAGACGTTTGTCTCTCATCAGGACGAACTTGGATGCGACCGAGTCGCAGCCTGCAATGACGTTATATGCACACGTGCGTAGCAACATAAATCTTGACCTATCTGTTGTAGAAACAGCTCTTTAACTGCTAGAATTCCACGCCCCTCTGCATTTTAAGTTTATTTTGTACACCATATTACAAGTCTTCATTAATTTAAGGTTTCCCATGCCAGTTATAAATTTTACATTTACATGAGCCCCCCACGGAACCCCAGAATGACAGCGGGCTAAGCAGGGCCGATGGCTGGGACCCCAGCTGGCAAGGGCCCGGTGGCTGGAAATTCAGTCCAGCAGTGGGCTGAGTGGGGTGGTGGACAGAACCCCAGACCAGCACCGGCTCACCCGCCGCCGGTATGGGGTTCCGGCCGCTGGCTCCTGCCAGCCAGGGTCCCAGCCACCGGCCCCGCTCAGTTCCGTTCATCCAAGAAGGCAGTGGGCTGAGTGGGGCCAGCGGACCCCGGCTGGCAGCAGCTTGCTGGTAAAAATCGGCTCGCCTGTCGCCTTTGGCAGGTGTGCCACTGGTTGCCAACCCCTCCCCTATTATTTTCGACACTATTTTATAAGATTAAGATTATTCGTTTTATAACATTTGTTTTCCTAACAATTTTTAGCATCCGGTTCTAAGGGTATGTCTACACTATGGAATAAGGTCGAATTTATAGAAGTCGGTTTTTTAGAAATCGGTTTTATATATTCAAGTGTGTGTGTCCCCACAGAAAATGCTCTAAGTGCATTAAGTGCATTAACTCGGCAGAGTGTTTCCACAGTACCGAGGCTAGAGTCGACTTCCGGAGCGTTGCACTGTGGATAGCTATCCCACAGTTCCCGCAGTCTCCGCTGCCCATTGGAATTCTGGGTTGAGATCCCAATGCCTGATGGGGCTAAAACATTGTCACGGGTGGTTCTGGGTACATATCGTCAGGCCCCCGTTCCCTCCCTCCCTCCATGAAAGCAAGGGCAGACAATCGTTTCGTGCCTTTTTTCCTGAGTTACCTGTGCAGACGCCATACCACGGCAAGCATGGAGCCCGCTCAGGTAACCGTCACCCTATGTCTCCTGGGTGCGGTACGGCTTTGCTACACAGTAGCAGCAACCCCTTGCCTTGTGGCAGCAGACGGTACAGTACGACTGGTAGCCGTCATCGTCATGTCCGAGGTGCTCCTGGCCACGTCGGCTGGGAGCGCCTGGACAGACATGGGCGCAGGGACTTAATTTAGAGTGACTTGACCAGGTCATTCTCTTTAGTCCTGCAGTCAGTCCTATTGAACCATCTTATGGTGAGCAGGCAGGCGATACGGATTGCTAGCAGTTGTACTGTACCATCTTCTGCCGGGCAGGCAAGAGATGAGGATGGCTAGCAGTCGTACTGTACCATCTTCTGCCGAGCAGCCATGAGATGTGGATGGCATGCAGTCCTTCTGCACCGTCTGCTGCCAGCCAAAGATGTAAAAGATAGATGGAGTGGGTCAAAACAAGAAATAGACCAGATTTGTTTTGTACTCATTTGCCTCCTCCCCTGTCTAGGGGACTCATTCCTCTAGGTCACACTGCAGTCACTCACAGAGAAGGTGCAGCGAGGTAAATCTAGCCATGTATCAATCAGAGGCCAGGCTAACCTCCTTGTTCCAATAAGAACAGTAACTTAGGTGCACCATTTCTTATTGGAACCCTCCGTGAAGTCCTGCCTGAAATACTCCTTGATGTAAAGACACCCCCTTTGTTGATTTTAGCTCCCTGAAGCAAACCCTGTAAGCCGTGTCATCAGTCGCCCCTCCCTCCATCAGAGCAACGGCAGACAATCGTTCCGCGCCTTTTTTCTGTGCGGACGCCATACCAAGGCAAGCATGGAGGCTGCTCAGCTCACTTTGGCAATTAGGAGCACATTAAACACCACACGCATTATCCAGCAGTATATGCAGCACCGGAACCTGGCAAAGCGATACCGGGCGAGGAGGCGACGTCAGTGCGGTCACGTGAGTGATCAGGACATGGACACAGATTTCTCTGAAAGCATGGTCCCTGCCAATGCATGCATCATGGTGCTAATGGGGCAGGTTCATGCTGCGGAACGCTGATTCTGGGCTCGGGAAACAAGCACAGACTGGTGGGACCGCATAGTGTTGCAGGTCTGGGACGATTCCCAGTGGCTGCGAAACTTTCGCATGTGTAAGGGCACTTTCATGGAACTTTGTGACTTGCTTTCCCCTGCCCTGAGGCGCATGAATACCAAGATGAGAGCAGCCCTCACAGTTGAGAAGCGAGTGGCGATAGCCTTGTGGAAGCTTGCAACGCCAGACAGCTACTGGTCAGTTGGGAATCAATTTGGAGTGGGCAAATCTACTGTGGGGGCTGCTGTGATGCAAGTAGCCCACGCAACCAAAGATCTGCTGATATCAAGGGTAGTGACCCTGGGAAATGTGCAGGTCATAGTGGATGGCTTTGCTGCAATGGGATTCCCTAACTGTGGTGGGGCCATAGAAGGAACCCATATCCCTATCTTGGCACTGGAGCACCAAGCTGCCAAGTACATAAACCGCAAGGGGTACTTTTCGATAGTGCTGCAAGCTCTGGTGGATCACAAGGGACGTTTCACCAACATCAACGTGGGATGGCCGGGAAAGGTACATGACGCTCGCATCTTCAGGAACTCTGGTCTGTTTCAAAAGCTGCAGGAAGGGACTTTATTCCCAGACCAGAAAATAACTGTTGGGGATGTTGAAATGCCTATATGTATCCTTGGGGACCCAGCCTACCCCTTAATGCCATGGCTCATGAAGCCGTACACAGGCAGCCTGGACAGTTGTTAGGAGCTGTTCAACTACAGGCTGAGCAAGTGCAGAATGGTGGTAGAATGTGCATTTGGACGTTTAAAGGCGCGCTGGCGCAGTTTACTGACTCGCTTAGACCTCAGCGAAACCAATATTCCCACTGTTATTACTGCTTGCTGTGTGCTCCACAATATCTGTGAGAGTAAGAGGGAGACGTTTATGGCGGGGTGGGAGGTTGAGGCAAATCGCCTGGCTGCTGGTTACGCGCAGCCAGACACCAGGGCGGTTAGAAGAGCACAGGAGGGCACGGTACGCATCAGAGAAGCTTTGAAAACCAGTTTCATGACTGGCCAGGCTACGGTGTGAAAGTTCTGTTTGTTTCTCCTTGATGAAACCCCCCGCCCCTTGGTTCACTCTACTTTTCTGTAAGCTAACCACCCGCCCCTCCTCCCTTCAATCACCGCTTGCAGAGGCAATAAAGTCATTGTTGCTTCACATTCATGCATTCTTTATTCATTCATCACACAAATAGGGGGATGACTACCAAGGTAGCCCAGGAGGGGTGGTGGAGGAGGGAAGGAAAATGCCACACAGCACTTTAAGCACAGCACTTTAAAAGTTTACAACTTTAAAATTTATTGAATGACAGCCTTCTTTTTTGGGGGCAATCCTCTGTGGTGGAGTGGCTGGTTGGCCGGAGGCCCCCCTACCGCGTTCTTGGGTGTCTGGGTGTGGAGGCTATGGAACTTGGGGAGGAGGGTGGTTGGTTACAGAGGGGCTGCAGTGGCAGTCTGTGCTCCAGCTGCCTTTGCTGCAGCTCAACCATACACTGGAGCATACTGGTTTGGTCCTCCAGCAGCCTCAGCATTGAATCCTGCCTCCTCATCATGCTGCCGCCACATTTGAGCTTCAGCCCTCTCTTCAGCCCGCCACTTACTCTCTTCAGCCCGCCACCTCTCCTCCCGGTCATTTTGTGCTTTCCTGCACTCTGACATTATTTGCCTCCACGCATTCGTCTGTGCTCTGTCAGTGTGGGAGGATAGCATGAGCTCGGAGAACATCTCATCGCGAGTGCGTTTTTTTTTTCTTTCTAAGCTTCACTAGCCTCTGGGAAGGAGAAGATCCTGTGATCATTGAAACACATGCAGCTGTTGGAGAAAAAAAAGGGACAGCGGTATTTAAAAAGACACATTTTATAAAACAGTGGCTACACTCTTTCAGGGTAAACCTTGCTGTTAACATTACATACATAGCACATGTGCTTTCGTTACAAGGTCGCATTTTGCCTCCCCCCACCGCGTGGCTACCCCCTCAACCTTCCCCCCTCCCTGTGGCTAACAGCGGGGAACATTTCTGTTTAGCCACAGGCAAACAGCCCAGCAGGAATGGGCTCCTCTGAGTGTCCCCTGAAGAAAAGCACTCTATTTCAACCAGGTGACCATGAATTATATCTCACTCTCCTGAGGATAACACAGAGAGATAAAGAACGGATGTTGTTTGAATGCCAGCAAACATACACTGCAATGCTTTGTTCTACAATGATTCCCGAGTACGTGTTACTGGCCTGGAGTGGTAAAGTGTCCTACCATGAAGGACGCAATAAGGCTGCCCTCCCCAGAAACCTTTTGCAAAGGCTTTAGGAGTACATCTAGGAGAACCGCGAATGCCAGGGCAAAGTAATCCTTTCACATGCTTGCTTTTAAACCATGTATAGTATTTTAAAAGGTACACTCACCAGAGGTCCCTTCTCCGCCTGCTGGGTCCAAGAGGCAGCCTTGGGTGGGTTCGGGGGGTACTGGCTCCAGGTCCAGGGTGAGAAACAGTTCCTGGCTGTCGGGAAAACCAGTTTCTCTGCTTGCTTGCTGTGAGCTATCTACAATCTCATCATCATCATCATCTTCGTCCCCAAAACCTGCTTCCGTATTGCCTCCATCTCCATTGAAGGAGTCAAACAACACGGCTGGGGTAGTGGTGGCTGAACCCCCTAAAATGGCATGCAGCTCATCATAGAAGTGGCATGTTTGGGGCTCTGACCCGGAGCGGCCGTTCGCCTCTCTGGTTTTCTGGTAGGCTTGCCTCAGCTCCTTCAGTTTTACGCGGCACTGCTTCGGGTCCCTGTTATGGCCTCTGTCCTTCATGCCCTGGGAGATTTTGACAAAGGTTTTGGCATTTCGAAAACTGGAACGGAGTTCTGATAGCACGGATTCCTCTCCCCAAACAGCGATCAGATCCCAGAGCTCCCGTTCGGTCCATTTTGGAGCTCTTTTGCGATTCTGGGACTCCATCATGGTCACCTGCAGCTTGCCACGCTGGCCAAACAGGAAATGAGATTTAAAAGTTCGCGGTTCTTTTCCTGTCTACCTGGCCAGTGCATCTGAGTTGAGAGTGCTGTCCAGAGCGGTCACAATGGAGCACTCTGGGATAGCTCCCGGAGGCCAATACCATCGAATTGTGTCCACAGTACCCCAAATTTGAGCCAGCAAGGTCGATTTAAGTGCTAATCCACTTGTCAGGGGTGGAATAAGGAAATCGATTTTAAGAGCCCTTTAAGTCGAAATAAAGGGCTTCATTGTGTGGACGGGTGCAGGTTTACATCGATTTAACGCTGCTAAATTCGACCTAAAGTCCTAGTGTAGACCAGGGCTAAAACTGCTTCAAAATTTAGCAACCGGTTCCCAGGAACCACTGCATACCAGCTCCAGCTCACCACTGGGTGACCCTACAAGCCCCGTGTTTGGCATCTGAAGCACCAGAGGCTTGCAGGATCTCGTGGAACAAGTCATCCTGCCTCCTCTCCTTCTCCTCCTCCTCATCTGGCTGAGCTGCTCCACTGGTGTAGATGGAGAGACCCTCAAGGCCACATTTCCAGCTGCAAAGATGCACAGACATCCTCTTGTGAGTGCATTCACAAGATAAATGGAAACTTGCTATCCTGAACTCACTCCCCTTGAGTTCAGCACGCAAGTTCAAAGCACTACATTCGCATTTCTCCTTGGGATTCATAGAGCATGGTGGCAGTCCCAGCTATGGTGAGTACGGCCTAGGGGAAGTGGGTGAGTGGGGACAATAAGGTGGGGTGATACCTCACGGGCAAGAGTACATGTGGATAGGACAATTGAACTGAATACTGGAAAACAGTTTTCCACAGGCAGTGGTGATGTTAGCTGATATCTCACTCCTGAGGGTAACAGCTCGTGCATGCATCCAGCTGCAGACTGGGTCCGTATGCTGCTAGCCTGTGTGCTGCATTGGGGCCTGCTGAAGTAATTGCTGACTGGCGTGGGAAAAGTGTCCTACCATGGCAGAAGAAATAAGGCAGCCCTCCCCGGAAATCTTTGGAGGAAGATTGCAGACTTACCTCCAGGAAAGTTTCCTCGAGATCTCTTCGGAGGATTCACAGGACATCCGAGTGCACATAAACTGTTCTGCAGGGCCCCCTCTGCCTAACTGTACAGCCAGGGGAATGAGAAGCAGATAGTAACTCTTCCTCTCTTGGTTATTTCCCTACTGCTTCTGGCATGATTATAAAAGAGTAAATGAACAGATGTGTCCCTGCAATATCAAAGCAAACTGCATACTTGCCAGAGGTTCCTTCCTCTGTATCAGCCTCGCCCACCCTGGACTGTAGGGACTGGCCAGAAGTCAAACAGGTCTTGGCTCACAGTGCTACTGGATTCCCCCAGTGGATTTTTGTTAGTCTGAAGTGTGGCCTAAAGAGACTGGCATCTAGCTCCAGTTCCATTAAAATGACATTGTTTTACTAAACACTTAAAAAAAAAAGACTCACTCTGGCTTCTTGGAACTGAAATCTGTTATTTTGTGTTCAGTTTTTCCCCCTCATGGGTATGCTCCCCATCTTGTTAAGAGAGCAAAGGAGCTGCTAGCAACTTGTTTTTAAAGAATCACTGTCAAGGTTCCTTCCCCACTCTGAACTCTAGGGTACAGATGTGGGGACCTACATGGAAGACCCTCTAAGCTTATTGTTACCAGCTTAGGTTAAAACTTCCCCAAGTACAAACTATTTTACCTTTTGTCCCTGGACCTTATGCTGACAACACCAAAGTGTCTAACAAAAATAACAGGAGAAGTGCCCACTTGGAAACGTCTCCCCCCAAAAATATCCCCCCAAGCACTACACGCCCTTTCCCGGGGAAGGCTTTATAAAAATCCTCACCAATTTGCATAGGTGAATACAGACCCAAATCCTTGGATCTTAAGAACAATGAAAAAGCAATTAGGTTCTTAAAAGAAGAATTTTAATTAAAGAAAAAGTAAAAGAATCACCTCTGTAAAATCAGGATGGTAAATACCTTACAGGGTAATTAGATTCAAAACATAGAGAATCCCTCTAGGCAAAACCTTAAGTTACAAAAAAGACTCAAAAACAGGAATATACATTCCATTCAGCACAACTTATTTTATCAGCCATTTAAACAAAACAGAATCTAACACATACCTAACTAGATTGCTTACTAACTCTTTACAGGAGTTCTGACCTGCATTCCTGCTCTGGTCCCGGCAAAAGCATTACACAGAGAGGACCCTTTGTTCCCCACCATCCCTCCAGCTTTGAAAGTATCTTGTCTCCTCATTGGTCATTTTGGTCAGGTGCCAGCGAGGTTATCTTAGCTTCTTAACCCTTTACAGGTGAAAGGGTTTTTCCTCCGGCCAGGAGGGATTTAAATGTGGTTAGCCTTCCCTTTATATTTATGACAACCATATAGAGCAGAGAGCCAATATATGTTACATTAATTTTGCAAATAGACACTGTATGTTTAGAGATTTTAGGGCAGACATATTCAAACATATACAAACAGTGGGTTGAGCTGTATCACCGGAGCACTGCCGCCTTCTGAGATACATCATAGTCCTGGATAATGTCACAAGTCCACAAAACTTGATCTTAATAAAGCTTTTTGTTGCCAAAAAACATTTGCTGTTAAACTGTTTTAAAACACAATCTACTTCCCCTCGCAGCTGTCATGTCCTGTTAATCCTTGAGCTTCTCTCACTGTAATGCTTTTGTTGCTAAATTAACTCAATGGCAGCCCTTTCAGAGACATTTTACAGATAACGTTAGGACTCTCCTGATGAAAGGGGTATTAGTGAGAGGTACCAGAATTTCTTACATGTACTGGTTCTCTCCCTTTTACCCCCCGCCCTTTTACTGTTAGTACTTAACTGGTCTAGTATTTGTATAAGAAGTGGGCTCAAGCTGAAAAATACAGATCTGGACTATGAACACGCCAAAATTGGCAGCCTGAGGGGGAGAGGGGATGTTCAAATCTGGGATTTGGTTTGAGCCCATCTCAGATGTGATCTACACATTAATAAAAATTTTGGCCAATCCTTGAGTTTCAATTTTACATATTCAAAGCTCTGTTCTGAATCCACCTTGTTAGTTTTTTTTCTGGAAAAGACCCTAAACTTCTAGGCATATGTATGCATTTGCTTCTGGCTTGGATCAGGCCGAATTCTTAGGATGGTGGAAATCTTGAGAGAACAATTTGAGCAGATTTCCAACTACTGCCAATCAAAGTCATGTGAGAAATGATTGAGAGATTTTGATGCCATTTAAAAAAAGTCAAACACAACGCTTCCGAATAAAGTGAACAGCATATCTCGGGCCCTGTTTCTAACTGAATGTAATTTTACACATAATATTGCAATAAGATGCTTTTAAAAGGTCTGAAAGGTCCTAACTTTTTTTCTGAAATTGACTGGTCAGTGATAAATTCTAAAAATAATTAGATAAAAATTGAATTAAAAGCAGGTTTCTGAAAGTTCCCTAGAACAAAACAAATAGAGCGAAGTTAATATCTCTGGCAAAAGACCTTAGGTTAGTCTCATGCAGCAGCTGTCCCTTATCCTTTCAAGCTGTTTGTGAAGGGCAGAGATCACTTACCAAGCACTCTACTATAACAGCTCTGAAAATTGCTTCTCCATTGGAAGCCATAACATGGCCTTTCTATTCCTTGTTTATGGATCCCCAAGAGAGCATCTTGGTCTCCTTATCCTGACAGAAAAGGCCTTTTTCTCTATGCACAATATTGACACAATCATCACATGCTAAATAATAAACATATTGACTATTGTCAACATAAATGGATTCCCACCTTAGTTTGAGCTGTATCCAACCTTCCACCCCACCTGTCTCCCACAGATGAAAGCCTGAACAAATGGAGCTATTTCAACATCTTAGGTATTTCTAGTGCACCCATCGATTGCATTTAGGTAGTACAGTCTCTAGATGGGACTGACACCAAAGTCTTGAAGGTCAACAAACTCCGCTTTGTTACAGTGAATGGGAGAAGCAAATTCCAGATCTGAAAGCACTTGGCCTCATCTACACAAATCTAATCTTAATTTTTGTGTCTACATTTATGGAGGGAGGTAGTGTTCTCAGGTAGCCCTGATGCATATCAGATAGGACTTTACACCATACTTCAAAATAAACCCCTTAGATAGCACCTAGAAGAAGGTTGAAAGCCAGTGTAGTCTTTGAAGAATTGGAGATTGATTATCTGAAAGGTTAGTTTAATTCAGTGAATATAGTTCTACACAGTACAATAAACTCATCCTGAAGTCTTCCCTGGGATCCCAGCTTTGTACCCACTAGAGGAGAATGCTTCTACTTTGAGCCAGTTATCTAGAATACAGGAAACATGAAAAGAAATGACAGTGTTTACAGTGGGAAATGAGTTAAATAGTTGTCTCTGTCATTATTTAAAGTTCTGTATAAAAACATGATTTTTTCCACATTCCACTGGACTAAAACTGGCCTAGGAACATGTTTCTTTAATGCCGTAGAATCCATGTTATGGCTGCCATTCTGTAGCTCAGGAGCATTGGACTCTCTTGGAGCCCATAACTGGGGCTCTCTAATTGGTTACACAGAGGCCACTATTGAGTACACAAGATACGCTCTTTGATCCAATGGATCGAAGTGTTGCCTTGGCAGCACATCCAGTGTGGATGCGGGAGAGAGAGGGCATGAAATTAAACCTGGCTTTGTCACATGGCAGCGGTTGGCCACAGGTCTAGCCCAGAATACCTCATTTTAGTGTAAAATCACATCCTGCCTTCCAATACCTAGACACAGTTGGGTGCCCTGAAGATATCATTAACTCTTAGAGCACTAAAGTATACTCCTCTTCAGATGCTGTAAATTAGAGTTTAGCACCCAATCTCTCCTACCTATCAGGCTGCTATCATGACAGGTATAAGGAGGTGGCAACATGGGACCTCCACCTTCCTCAAGATACACTTCTCAATGGTGACCCTCCATGACGATTTCGGGAATTTGTCTAAGTACAACTTATGAATTCTGGTTGTTATGAATTTATTGTATCTGGGAATGTCTCTGTGTGGATGTGGAATTAAACATTTGCTGACATGGGTTGCAGTACAGTACCTCCCAGAACAGGGACAATGTAGAATCATTAACAACTGTGTGCTGACCGAACAATGGGTGTGCTAAGGAGATTGGCTGAAGCTAGTTTTTGCAACTAGTCTGCAGGGAGGGGAAGTGGACAGAGTGGAAAATTCCCAAACAGTACAAAGATGACAAAGCAGGGCTTTAAAAAGGACCCATGGGAAGAAGAAAGGGAAAAGACTTTTGGAGACATAGGAAGCATTCGGACAAGAGATAAGCAGGCTTTCATAGCAACGGGGCGGTCTGGATTAACCACAGGATGAGCCAAGATCAGAAAGAGCTAGCTACAGGAGACAGAGGGGTGGCAAGATTATGAAGAGAAGCCATGTGCAGGAGAGGGAATCTGGCTCTGTCCATGTGAAGAAGAGGACTCTGCCCAAGTCCAAAGAACTCTGCAGAGTGGTGAAGAATCTCAGCCAGGGAAATGCACTGAGGTATATTTGTTATTTTGTATAGCTCTGTGTATTTCTCATGCTACTAAGTAAAGAGTAATAGAGACTGTGCAAAGTCTGTCTGTAGGTTTTCACTACTGTGTATCCCTGAAGAGGTAAACTGTAAACCTGAAAGCTCACACCTTTGGTGGGATCCTGGGGAATACGCACTGGGGAAGCTAGGGGAAGATGACACTGCTTCCAGGAACTAGGCAACTGGGCTTCACTGTCCCCCCTGCCAGTCATACCAGTCTGGTGAGTGTCCAGCAGGGGGAACTCAAACAGATCTGTGAAAGACACCCTTTCCACTCCCCAAAATTAAACCAAACCAAACATTTGCAACAAGCAGCCAAGAAATCTGGCTGCTGTCAAGCCAATCTGGCAGCATCTTAAATTTATTATCCAATCATCAGGCTGGTCCCATCTCCCCAGCCCTGTGGAAGCGACGGAGAGTTAGAAGAGCAAACCAGGGGAGAAGTAGGAATGGAATTCTGAAAGGTGGATTAAAAGAAGGGAGCAAAAGGTTTGGACAAACAAAGGTGATCTTTCAAAAGCCTCATTCTGTGGAATTGTGAGGGCTACTCAAGAAGGTGTTAACTTGGCTTTTGGAGCCAGCCATTACAGCCCTGA